CTGCTCTCTCAAATTACGTTCTTCTGCCAATCTCCTTTGTCGTCTCTCCTCATCGTTCAGATTCGTTATCGACGAGACCCGTTCCAGTCCACTCACTGGATCTTCATTCGGATCCAATCTTAACTACTTATCATCAAATATCATTATATAATACCAATCTAAATCAATCAAAAATAATCAAATAAAGCTGCACAATCGTAATTTATGATGGCTTATAAATGATTATTCACTACCGTAACAATTTTTCAAGAAGTGATCGCTTCGGCTCCTTTTTGAGGTCGTTTAGTTTTTCGTACATAACGAACGCGAATTTACAGATTTCAATCCGTCAGAGACAACTAAGTTCGTAAAAACCCGATAGTATGTTTTCTTCAGGGACGTGAAGTGAATGACGAGTGGAATATACCAAAAAATTGGTCTTTTGCAAAAGAACAGACAGCGATTACGCAAGCACTTTTATCTCATTTTTTTCGTTATCATGAACGTTGCGATGTTTGATGCCGCTGTTTGGACGGATCAAAAAAATACGAATAATTAAATGAACTGACATCAATGTTAATGAGGTCGTGGGCAAAACAATTTATACTTCACCTCAGGTCACTCCAGTTTCTAAAGGTCAGTCTATATTTGACTAAGCAATATAAGAGTGAATCAGAGCAAACTAGGTCTTAAACGAAACTGAACAACACATAACATAACTGATGCACATATTTCCGAAGTATCAAGCAAACGATACAGTAACAGCAAATATTCATTTCTATTTTGCAATGTTTCGCTGTGTTCATCAAGAAGATACGACGTTTATCAAACAAAGTCTAAAAGAAGGATTAACTCAACAGCAAGTCTTTCCATGTAATAAACAAATCGCAAATCTATCTAATGCTTGTTCTGTCTCCAACGACAACAGAAAATTGAATTTTGCTTCAATAAAGGTTTCTTGTTGTGATCGAAGCAGAACACGTGCAAGTACACATCATTTTATGAGTTCAAACAAGGTATATTTCACTTACACATTTCGATGTCTAGCGACTGGGGGTCGATCACCCATAATTCAGCAACAACCGTATCAATAACAATACCCGTAAATGTTCTTCAGTCCGTTAAGATGATAACGTTTTGTTTACTTTTGTTTTGTTTTACAATCTCAAGCGTCCCACTCTTATCACATTCATAAATTTATCACTTCACATTGCTCTCGTGATAACAATTCTAACAATTAATAGCGCTACCATTATTCAGTATGCACATCAATGCAAACATCTCAATAATTCATCTCTTTTCCTGCAGCATTTTGCAAAAACTTGAAAGTATTAATTCATAACTAACGACTACCACACCGAAATGTACTGCTGTGAACATCCTGCTTAAACAATCCTCAGAAAATTCCTCCTACATAATCATTTTAAAATCCACACTTACATCGAATGAACTGAAGTCTTGAATTTGCTTTCAGAATTTAAATACTACTGGTGCTTGATAATGAAATTAATGTTCCAAAGAAATACATTACCACTGCACTTTATGTTAGTAGAATCCACTCATTTCATG